AGCACTGGTATATAGAATGACATTTTTGTCTACTACCTGACCTAAAAATTGACATTTCAGTGGAAGATTTTCTTTACTCATAGGTTAGTATTTACATTCTAATTATTCTATTGTGAACAGAGGAAAAATAAAAATTCCCAATTTTTAATAACAGATGTCACTGCATTCTACAGTGTTGGAAGGAGAGTAATGTTTTGGAGAACAAATATCAATGGAGATTTGGTTAAATAAAGAGAAGTTATTGGGCTAGGGTTATAAGAGAGAAGTCGAGACAAAGGCCAAACTGGCCTGCATAAAAAGAATTTTCGGTTTTCATGATCAGCTTCTTGCGAAAGGGGAATCTGGGCTTGACTCACTAAAAAGCAGTGAGGAATAACTCACTGGGGAGCAAGAACTGCCTCAGGATGAGGAGGACAGCTACAATATGACTCCGGGCAGAAAACAAACATTGAACTTTATAAAGAGTACCATCTGATACTCAGTTTCAAGTAGCTTCCTTTGTTGAGCTTAAATTACTTTTTATTATTCACAAGCTTTTGGTAATAATCTATTAGAAATACACATTGGGCAATTATGTATACACAGGGAATATATCTACTCAGATATTGTAAGTTTCTTACTTCCAATTCCAATTTTAGATTTAATATTTAATGCAAAAGAACAAATTTATTTTATTAGAGGCATTAAGTAGATGTTTTAAAACATTGTTGTGAGTTTAGGGGATAGGAGGATAAACATGGTAAGATCTCTCTTTATACTCTATATAGAAGCTCCCTTGAGACTTAAATTTTAATTGGTTTAAATTAACTGATCTAAACTTATTTTATTATATTTAGGAAAGCTCTTATATCATTGGAGTGCTGACATTTAAAAAATAATAATCCAGACAAAGTTTATACCATTTGGAGCTCTTTCCACCATTCCTAACATTGGTGAGTAAAGAGGCAACTTTGATGAAACTATAAGCCAGAATTGAGGATGTCCAACCTCTGTCCTGCTTTATTCTCTCAAATATTAAACTGAAATTTAAATAATTATAATATTATTTAAAGAGAAGAAATGGAAAAACTACAAAAAAGAGGAAGATTTTTAAAGAGAAATATGGGATGACCTGGTAGTCAGTACGGTATGACTCTTCTGTACTCTAATTCATCATTATTTCCTTTAGTGCCACTGTTCAAAATGAGGAGAAATAATGAGTAGCAAAAATTACATTGTTGTAATAATGATTGAGTTCTAGATATAACTTTTTAATCTACTTGGCTCTTTGATTCAGTTCCTTGACACATTAATCCTTGGCTTTTTATAGCTATGGTTTTTATTTTTTTACTTTTTTCTCCTTTTATTTTATCATTTTTACATTTACTTACATGTATATACATGGCTTGTGCCATCTCCCCCAGCTATGGCTTTTAACGTGGTCTCCATGACAACTTCAGGGGAATAACCCTTTAGAAATGCATACAAATTTTGAGAGCCCAGAACTCTTTTTCCTTCTAAAATGTGGTTTACTGTAAAAGAGATCTGGGACTTAAAAAATAATTTAACATACACTGTTTGGAATATATTTTGAATATATTCTAATTTGAAAAATCCTATTATCTCTTAAAAAAAACTGTAGTTTTATCATTTGTGGAATATTGGGGTAAGATTTAAAAGTATAAAGAATAGTAAGAACTTTGAAATTGTGAAAAAGTATCTGGAAAAAAAAGAACCACCTGTGAGCACATTTGCTTATCCTTGCCACCTTCACTGTTCTCTTCCTTGAAGTTCTCTAACAACTGTATTTCTCTCACATGATGTAACAGAAAGTTTAACATTTAACTTCATACTGTTACACACCTCTTAGTGGTCATATAGTTTAATCCCTTTGCAGAAAAAAAAATCTATCATCACCAATTAAAAACAGATATTCATGGTACAGCGACTACTGCTATCAGAATAGCTGAGTTCTGGTTCTACCATTTGCTAGTGTGGCCACAGGCAAACTATATTATCTTGAATTCTCTATTAAAAAAAAAACTTGTGAGATAATAATAAAATCTAATCCGTAGCATTTTATGAAAAGTAAATGAGATGATATAAAACACTTCAACCATGTATGGTATAATAAATTCACAGTAAACATCAAACCCTTAAAGTTAGTCTCATCAGAAACTGATTGTGATGAAGGGTCTATAAAAGATGAAAATGAATTTAAAGCCACTAATTAGTTTTAAATTCATCTTTAGGAAAGGAAATTTTAAGACAAGGAGAGAGATTAGCCACATGTAGGCACGAAGCAACTTGGATGAGACTGGAAAGGTACAGATCCTGCCTCAAAGAGGAGTTCACAGACATAGCAAGATGTTCACAGAGATGAGTTATTTGCAGAATTTAAGCTGAGCCAGAGCATTTAAAAGAGTGGAAATGACAAAGTTTTGTCAATAAAACTAGGAGTTTACCACCAGTGAATTTAGGCCAAAAGGCTACAGGAATTGATGGTTTTGCTATGTCACGAGGAGCTATTCTTGAAATCCAGATAGACAAACTTCAGTCATTTAAATCCCAGTTTTCTGACATGGGCTAACCAACCTGAAAGTGAAAGGAGGTGGATTGTGAAGGACTTACATTTAGTATCTGACAAACTGTATACTAAAAATAATTAAGAAAACATAATAATCAGAATAATTAAGAGAGCATACAAATTGTCTGCTTATAATTTTTAACAGCAAATTTCCAAGAAAGTCATTTTGTAATACAGCTGACTGCTATTAGGGTTTGAGTGATTTACTATCAAAAGAGATCACAGAAAGAACTGGAAAGAGGCAAGTTTTCAAGATTTAATTTATCATGGAACAATCACTTAACTTCAGCATCAGTGCTTTTCTAACCAGAAATTATTGAGGAAGAATGGTCTTCTATTCAAAGTTACCTTGAACCGCTAAAATCACTGCCCTTAATACGATAGCACATAGACTGGTATTGATCTCAGAACTCAGGAAATCATTGCTGGTCAAATCACTGGACACATTTCACAAAATTTTCCTTTCAAGATGTGGTTTACTGATGAAAAATGAGAGTAAAGGAGCAAATGCACCAAGCTTTCACATACCTATCTTTAATATCTTGTCTATGGACAAAATTTTGTCATAATAATATCTAATGTTTATTGAGTACCCTGTAGGTGTCAGCTCTTAGAAACAACCCTTAGAGATAGGTTTTATTGCTTTCTCATCTTTAGATGATTAAAAAACAGATATAATAAAGAACAAGTATTTTACCCACCATTCAACAGACTTTGTATATCTCTTTCAGAATTGGCTCATCCTCCAGCAAACTGGCTCCCAACAATGCCACTAAACTGTCACAGGAATTTTCTTATGGAAGGATTCACTACTATGTGAATTCCAATAACTTGGATAAGGACTGTGTTGTATGGAAAACATGGTCAAAGTGAAATCATAAGATTAATCAAGAGAATACTGGCCAAGTACTGTTAGGAACTTTTAAAGTTACTTTTCACTGAAAATATACATGGTAAATTACAGAAACATTTGTTAATTTGACAACATATACAATAAAGAAAAAAATGTGACTTTACATTTTTTTCATCTGAAGGCAATATATAAATTTCTGTCTATATGTTATAAATGTGAATATGCATTACATTGTATCATACCAGTACATATTCTGTCTGGTACATAGTGATTTTTTGAATATTATATTATTATCACTCTCCTTCTTTATAATGCTGGTTTACTTGTTTCATAAGAACTCATTGCATGGATATTTCGTAACTTAAGTAACCTAGTAGTTGTAAGGAAAGGTCTTAGGTAGAATGACAGAATAAATATGGAAACTGTCCCTTCTCCCCCACCATTCTGTTTTATTATAATCAACCTATTGACTTTTTAGTGGAGGGCACCACTGCCCCCTCATTTTGGAAAATATGAGTTGAAAAGTACCATGTTTATTCAATGTCATCATTGTTGGATAGTTTCCTTTGAGTGAACACACACTGTACACTAATTTTTTGACTTCTCATTAGATTTAGAATAAATTCCAAAGAGTGGAATGGTATTGCTGTGCCAAGAATGCAAACATTTTTAATAGTCTTGATACATATTGCCTGCCTGATGAAAACTTGCAAGTTTATATTTTCACCAACGTTATATAAGAATATTTCATATGTGAATATAACCATTTTAAATATTAAAGTGTATACTGTTTTGAGTTTAATTTCTTACTCTTACCTGTCTTTGTATTAAGTTAACCAAGCACACAGGTCCTGTCAGAACACAGAAATTACTACCACTTTTTTCCTAGGTTAGGGTATATTTGTGACTAAGATGGTAACAATGGCTACCATTTATTAACAGACAGAGTCCAGCTGGCCTTCACAGGAAAGTATCTCACACGACCTTCAAAACAATTCCATTGTTATTCTCATTTTCTAAATGAGATCACCTAGGCTTGGAGACATTGGAGAGCACAACCCCAACTCAAAAGTACAGGGACTCTCCTCTTGCATTCCTGTAACTGACCATTGAGTTAACTAAACAAAACAAAACCAGGGTCCCCGCTTGCAGTTTCCTCGGAGCGGGCAAGCGTTTCTGGATTAAAATACGACTTTTTGACTACCAGAGAAGTGGCGACCTACTCCCAGGGACCAGAGGAGGGTCTGTGACCTCTTAAAGGTGAGAGAGGAAGGAGGCTGCTCTGCTGAAAGCTCATTCAGGTAGCGCACATCTTTCCCCTTTTGCAGATGAAATGGCCTAATCTGGGAAAGACAGGAGGGACCATTCTTAAGCCATGCAGAAGTAGGGCAGCCAAACTCTGAAGCCCGGAGACGTCCACGACGGTGGGATGACCCGGGGAGCTCCCGTCGAGCCGCAGGTGCTCTTCTGGGTGCGCGTGGGGGAGGGGAGGCAGGCTCCCGCCCGGCCGCTGTGCGCAGGCGCGGGCGCAGGTTGCAGCAGCGTCCCGGGCTCAGCTGATGCTCGCCCCTCCTCCTCCCAACTCCGCGGCTGCCCTGCGCTCCAGGCCGGCGCTCCAACCCCGGCACCCGGGACTGCGGACTCCGCGACCCCGTCCTCGGGCCTGTCCGCGCCGAAGCAGCCCGGGACTGCGCAGCGCCCCGCATGCCGGTGAGCGACCCCGGACGCGCAGCCCGGGTCCCCTTGCAGAGGGGGCCGAGCGGCCCGGGGACCTGGGCCGGAGCCGGGCCTGCCGAGAAAGTGGAGGAGGGGAGGCCGCCGGGGAGCTGGGCCCTCGCATGGCGGGCTCGCGGGGGAGGTGTCGGTCACCTCCTCTTACTGCACCTGCCCAGGAGCTCGGGGTCGTTCCAGGTCCCCACACTCGGCGGCTAGGTGGCCCTGGGTCTTACTGTTGTTGAATTTTTTTTTTTTTTTTGGTATGGCGACTTCGATCGTCATGTTAACCTTTATGGAGCAGACTGCACTGCGCTGGGTTTTATTTAGAGATCGTTTTTGAAAGGCGTTGCTACTTTCCTTCATTCCAGGCCCTTTCAGAACTATCACCAGTGCCTGTACAGAAGGATCCTGACCCATTTTAATGGGATGACTGCAGTTTCCTTGTTCCCCCCTCTCCAGACAATTTGAGAACCATGTTGATTTTTTCAGTAAATTACGAGACGGCGATATAAAACATTGAGCACAAGGAGGAGGAAAGGGGTCTAGAACTATTTCCTACCATAAGTCTCCTAAAATAGCAGTGAATAAACTTGTCAGTGTTCTTAGGAATACCTCGTAGGAAAGGCAGAGATTGCCATTATCTGTCAAAGTCTGGGGTTTGTCTAAGTTATCAGTCAAGGTTGCTGTAGGTCAGAAGAGAAATCAGGTTTGGACAGGGGTACTTGGCTTTGTCTTGTGAGTCTTCCCCTGAGGCCTTCCAGTGGGAAGCTTCTTCCACTCCTGCTGTGTTGTCCAAGAACCCTAAAAGGGAATCCCTGAGGCCTTGCTTCTGAGGCCACTAATTCCATTTATCGTTTATCTAGTGTTCTTCTGCAAAGACTACAAAGTCACAGAGTGTGGGGACAGTGATGATCAACATTCACCCCTGAACCACCTGTGGCTGGCAAGTTGGTTTGGCTCACATTTAATGCCACTGAGCCAAATTAAGATATGGCGGTAGAGAGTGTATACAAACATTTTTTTAAATAGTGAAAATTCTTTTCCTCCTTATACAATTTTAAGTTGCACACCAAGGGTGTAGGTTTTTAATCCTGCTGCTTACATTATGTTTCAGTGACTGCCCATTTTAAAAAGCAAATTTTTCTCATAGTATGAAATGACTCAAATTGTTAAGTGTCAGTTTTCCTTATTCAAATAAATGAGAATTTTAAAAAATATCTGTATGAATGTCTATAATTATTTATATTTAGAAATTGATCAATATGAAATATGCTCAAGTTTAAGATGGGTGGAATTACCTTAATTTTATATTATGATTTACTAGTTTTTTTTTCCTCAGAATATCAGCAGGTTGTATTTTATGACTTTTTAAGTTCTTTTCAGCCTTGAAATTGTATGACCTTAATTGCAATGTTACTGTACTACCTATCTGTAGAGATTGTTTTTGTATAGATACAAAAATACATTCTTACTTGGCTTTTAAAATTACATTTAATTTATGCCCTGATGTTATTTTGATAGTTATTCTAAAAATTTGACTGCTTTGTAGTGGTAAATTATATTTAATATTTTAGAATATTAACTTCATAGTGTTAACTGCCAACTAGTGAAAGAAAAGTCTACATCATTTGGAGTTCTTGTGGATTTTTTTTCTTGCAAATGTTTAAATGTTTGAAGTAAGAACTTTAAGGATAGAAGTAAAGATTTATCACAAAGGTGTGAGTTTTAAATGAGTGAAAAATAGTACTTTGAAATTACCTGGTGAAACACATAATACCTAGTTGTACTCTTTCCAAAGCAGCTTTTCTATTTAGTGTCAAGCACCTTAAAGGTAGAATGTATCTTTGCTTTTTATTTATTCTAAGAAAAATGAAGTAACTGTTTCTTTTTAGAGAATCCTCTCAGAAGGTATAGACTTTTGACAAATATTTAGCATTTCAGAACCCATTCTCATTACAAGTCTGATGGGATATCATTTCTTAATATTTTGTTAGAAGAACACCTCTGGAACCTACTGAAATCTCCCTTGTTTCAAGATGTTATTTTGGTTACATTCTAATTCCAGAAGTATTTTGAACACTTGCGTTTCTTCTAAATTGATTAGATTAATATAAATCAACCACAGAATTTGAGTTATACTTTTTTCCATGAAGTTTATAAGAATTTTTTTTTTCATTAGACATGGGAAAGTCTCTTTCTCATTTGCCTTTGCATCCAAATAAAGAAGATGCTTACGATGGAGTCACATCGACTGACAATATGAGGAATGGATTGGTGAACAGTGAAGTCCACAATGAAGATGGAAGAAATGGGGATGTCTCTCAGTTTCCGTATGTGGAATTTACAGGAAGAGACAGTGTCACCTGCCCCACCTGTCAAGGCACAGGAAGAATCCCTAGGGGTATGTGTTACTGCATTGTTTCTCCTTTAATAAATGATTCCATGCATTTGCCCAAGTAATATAAAGCCTATGGGTTTAAGAAGCTCTCTATTTTAAGACTCTTGAAGTTAAAACTTCACATCAGTTACTTCAGTCAAGAGGAGATACAAAAACAAACATGTTTCCTAAAGTAGTGATGAAAATGACTTCACTGCATACAGCATTTTTTTCTTTCCTGTCTGCTGTTATAGCTGATATGCACCAAAGTTTGGTTGGAAATTTTTAGTTCTTTTTGACATCTTTAGAGGCCATATCACAGTCACTTTGCCATACTGGCTATTAGAAACAATTTAAGTAATTTGGTGATCTAACATTTGTAACTCATTTTGTAAATTATAATAAGTTGTTCAGGACCTAATTAGTTATTTCTAAAAGGAATTCCATAGTATGTAAAGATGTGCTGAGTAGGAAAAAAAATTCAATTTTTGGTATGCCACAGGGGCAGTCAGAAGGAAATAATCCCTATGTGCTGTTTCTAGGCTACTTTAGTCACAGTGGTAGTAAGTAGAAACAATAATGGCACCTTGTGCTGTTCTCATTCTCTGCTTGGTAAAAGTTGATATGTGACCCTGGAGTGACCCTAAAGGAAGGATGAAGAAACAGTAGAAGGTATTTCTCTGAGAAATGCCTTGGGTTAGAGGTGGGGAAGTTTACATTGCATTGACTGTTAAATGTGATGGTTTTATCTTTGCAGGGATAATAGCTATTTGAGGATAAAAGAATTACGGTAGTTGAAGAAATTATTGCATCAGTCTTGGGGGGTGGGGAACAACTACAGATGTGGCAGGCTAGTTGTGATTTTGAGGTATGCCAGTAGGCTTTTTTTGTCAGCCTGGATGTGGATTGTGGAAAATAGAAAGCCAAAGATGGCTCCAGTGTTTGTTTTAAGTCTGTTCATTTGTTTTATTTGTTTTCCGTCTGAGGAACTGAAAGAATGAAGTAGCAGTTTACTAAAATGAAGAAAATGGTTTTTCTCTTTAGTTGTTGTTTGGGGTTTTGTTTTGGGGGGGTTAGGTTTTTTTGTTGGCAATACTGGTGTTTGAACTCGGGGTCTAATATTTGCTAGGCAGGCAGTCTACCACTTGAGCAATGCCCCCAACCCAGAAAAGATGTGAGTTGTGTCAGGAGAAAGATTAGGAGCTCATTTATAGACATGTATGCTTGAAGATGCCTGTTTAATATCAAAGTGGATATTTTCAGTAGACAGTTATAATAAGCACCTGGAATTCTAATGCAAGGCCTAGCTTGTAGTTGTCAATATATAGATGATACTTAAAGTGTAGTTGGATGAGAACACTAAGCATGTCAGTTTGGATAGAAAAAAGAAGAGTCCCTAGCAGTGAACTCTGGAAAGCTGTATCATTTTAAGGTCAGTAGCATGAGAAAGAATTTGTACAGGACCCCAAAAAAGAGCAGTTTGAGTGGGAAGAGGAAATCCCTGTGTCCTGAAAGATAAGTGAAGAAAGTACACAAGGGAAGAAGGAAAAATCAACTGTTAGTCCTACTGATAAGTCAAGGAATGTGAGGGCTGAGAACTGACTGTTGTATTTAGTAATAAAAAAGCTAGAGAGCTTTTTAAGAGCAGTTAGGGTATTTGCAAATGCATGTGTAGAAAATGTAAAAATAAACCCATGAATTTATACAAATAATACATGCTAACAAAAAAGAAGAAAAGAGCACATGTAGACTGGGATCATGAACACTTAGGACAGGTTGTACAGAGAAGAACATGTCTTTGAGGAGTTTTGCTCTAGAGAAGAGGAAAGTGGAGAGGTGGTAGTTGGGAAGAGTTGTGAGGTCAGGAGAGGGATTTTTTTGTTAAGGTGGAATGACTAATCGATGTTTGTATGCTGATGAAAGTCATTCATAGAGAAAATTGTAATGCAGAGATGAGACAAGTATTGGAGCAATGTCTTTGAGTAGGCTACAGAGAATGATAAGATCTAATGCACATGTGCAGAGGGCTGCTTGTCCAGAGGAGTGTAACAAGAATATTCTAATAAGAGAGAAGATAGAGTAGACATAGAAGCAGTAGTAGGTAGATATTTATAAACCAAACTTTTGAGACTAAAAAGTCTCTGAAATGAAAGGTTTATTGAAGTGTTTACTGATATTAACCAAAGATAAAAAGACCAGTTCCAGGACAAATTCCTTAAGCTACCTGCAGCTTGGCTAGATAGGTCTAGGAAAAATGTCTGCTGAACCTAAGAGTCCAAAGTGTTTTATAATGAAATTTTGGGAAAAGAAGCATAAAATTATTTACATTGAACCTCCACTGGCTATAAATGAGGGCAAGAGGGTAGAGCAACACAGGTGGGACAGAGTCCTAGGATAGGAGGACAATCCATAGAGAGAAGTTCTTCCCCTGTTTCTTATTTGGTTGCTTCCAAGAGCAGAATGAAATGGGGCCTTGATAGTTAATCTTCATCAGAGCATAGAGGAAAGGTATGTGGAGAAGGTTTTTTTACTTAGTTTGGTGCTGTGGTTAAAAAGAACTTCTGTCATCTCTTTACTTCCTCCATTCCTTGTTCCATAACTCAACTTAGGACATCTCAGAATTCTTCTCTCATCAGTATGGTGGTGGGTATTTGTAGATGTTCTCTTCAGTTTACTACATTGTGAACCAAGAATGAACATGAGGAAGAAGATCCTGAGGTTCTGAAGAGAGTTGGTTTTGAACTCGTGATCTTGGCGAGTTGGATTGAGAATAAGAACTAGGGAAATACAGTGTGATCGTTGGTATCATTATGGACCACATGAGATTAATGAGTGATCTCATATGAAACCAATGACCACTTAAAGCTTGAGATTTAGAAGAGTAGTTTTTGGTCTTCAAGGGGGGTAGTATAAGAACCTCTGTGGTGATAGAGGTTTCAGGAAAGGGAGGTAGCAATATGTTTCTTGTGCTAGCAACCAAATAAAAGTCTTAGTGGAAGACAATGGAGTTAAAGGAAGGCATGGTAGATTCAGACCTGAAAGCTAGGACATTTTAGATGTTTTTCAGTGGATAAAAGGGTAATAGAGCCATAATTCTTCATATTATTATTTTTAGTTATTTTTTGGTGGGACTGGAGTTGAACTCAGGACTACGCTCTTACAAAAAAGATGACCTACCACTTTGAGCCACACCTCCAGTCCATTTGCTCTGGTAATTTTTGGAGATTGAGTCTTTCCAACTATTTGCTGAGGCTGGCCGCGAACTGTGGTCCTCCTGATCTTAACCTCCGTAGTAGGTAGAATCATAGGCATGAGACACTGGTGCCCAGCCTTTACACTATTGGATATCTAGGTATGAAAAACACGGTATCTTTTTGAGAACTTAAATTCTGCTGGATAATCTTTAAAGATTTGAATAATAGTATATTAAAAGAATGAGATAGAAACCAGATGGTATTGTGATCTTTCCAAACCTAATTATGATGGAGCACTACTCTATTTTTAATCATGCTGATACATTTCTAAATCTACTTCTTTTACTTTTAGGACAAGAAAACCAGTTGGTGGCATTGATTCCATATAGTGATCAGAGATTAAGGCCAAGAAGAACGTAAGTGATTATAAGAAAATAGCAATATTTTCTGTTTCTTTTCTTTTTGACGTATTTATAAGTAATCATTCTCATAAGACTACTAAAAAGTAATGTATATGATATTATTAAGTTATGCCATCTTATGCTTTTCATCATTAAACAAAAAATGATTATTGGTTGGAGTGAGATCTTGAAAGCAGCATGGTATATGTGTGTTCTCAAATCTATTTATTAAAACATTTAAAATAGCAAAGGAAACACACACATACACCATTTTCATCAAAAATAGGTGATAAAGTATTCCTACCAACTCCAGAATAAAAATGGGTATAAAATCATAATGATAGCAGGGCCCCAAACATTCTTAGCAGATGCATGGAAGTTGTGAAAGAAAGCAAAGGAGAGTTTTTGAAGGGTCCTGACAGCCCTGATGCACAAAGGAAATACTGTGCTGCTGAAGAAGATGACCCCATTCAAAGTAACCCCAGCAAATACTTTTGAGAATAACTTGTTAAAACAAGAAGATTCCAAATGTTCTAGCTTGGAGAGAAGCAAAAAGACCATAGAGGCCTTGAGAAGATGAGAAGGAACACAACCATCCTAAATCCTAAGTCTCCAACAAAAACTCTTACAAAAAGAACAGACATATATCCTGAGGAAAATAGCTGTGTAGTTAAGATCCCATCAGTGAAGTGCCAAATAAAGGACAGATAACATTCAGAAACTGGGGAGTTATTCGCAGAAGTATGGAGGAGAGTACTCATAAGGGCCCTCTCTTTAAATGGAAGATGGAGCGCTTAAGCAGTGAAGCTCAGAAAGCAACCCTGGCCCATTGCCAAAATGGAACTTTTTTTCTGAAAGTACAAAAACTATTCTTATTTAATGTGAATTATAGGAATGAATTGTAGTCCAGTATCATAAAAAAGATATGTTTAAGAAAATTGAAGACAACTCAGGAAAAATACTGGCAGATGATAAAAGTATATAGAGCAGATGAAAACTTCAACTTAATATAAAATGTACTAAAATTATAGAAGCTATGACAGAACACCATCAGTCAAAAGTTAAGCTCAGAAATAAAATAACTAACAATGGGAAAATGTGAAAAGATAGTTTACAGATTCCTTAAAAGAATTCAAAAAATATTTTTATTCTTCAAAACTGGAAGAGTGCAAGTACAAATAGATACCCTGGAAAGTATCTAGAAGTATCTGGGAATAGAGAATAAACAGAGGAATGAAAACACGGACAACTAATGAAAAAGACTTGAGTTAAAAAAAATGACATAGAAGATAAAGAATATTGAACATGTATATAATGGAGTCCCTGAAAAAGAAAATCAAACTACAACTAAGCAAATACTAAACATTTGATTCAACAACATGTCCCTGAAGCAAAAGAAGATGTTATCCTACGTATTATGAAGATGCAGTACCATCCTGAAAATCATTCTAGTGAAATTCTTGGATCATGAAGACTAAAAAAAAAGTTCTTTCTGGGGACTTAGTTCAAGTGATAGAGCTTTTGCCTAGCATGCAAGATGCCCTAGGTTCCATCCCCAGTCCTGAAAAAAAGACAAAAGGGAAGGAGAAGGGTGAAGGGAAGGGAAGAGAACGGGAAAAAATTAGTTCTTTGAGCATTCAGGCAAAAGGGTCAATTAATTATTAGTAAAAAATCAGATTGTCATGCTGCTTCTTGACCATAGTGCTTCAAATAAATAAACCATAGAGTAACATTTAGTAATTACAGAAATGAAATGAACACAGGATTATGTAAACTGCCAATCTGACACTTAATTTAAAAATGTATCAGAGGTACAAAGGCAAAAAAATTAGGTCTAAAATCTTTATAACCTGAAAGTGGGAATACTTTTTAATTATGGTTTAGGATCCAGGAGTGATGAAAGAAAGCAAATAAATTTGATGTAATTTAGATAAAAACTTGGGGTTGAAAATAAAACCTTAATGATGTCAAAATATAAATGGTAAACTGAGAAATAATATTTACAAATCATATCACAGACAGGGCCAATATTGATTCTTTCTCTATGATGGTTCACAATTTGAAGGAAATTAAAAAGAAAAAAGAGCCAACTACCAAAAGAAAGCTATTAACAGCTACTTTTCAAAAAAAAATGACCTTTGAACATACGAAAATATACTCAATCTTGCTCATAAAAGAAATGCAAGTTAAGACTACATTGAGATACCTCTATCAGATTGGCAAAAGTCCCAAATATTGTCAGCATATTTTGTTGGCAAGACTGAGTGAAAACAAGCATACTTGCCTTGCTAGTGAACAGGAATCTGGCACTATCTTAACAAAATTACATATGTACTCACTGGCTCAGGCATTCTACTTTGAAAACTTATTCTAAAGATAGTTTTCAAATATAGTAAGTGGCATTTGTACAACTTATTCATTGTGCCAATGTTTGTAGCAGTAGTTACAAAAAGCATAAATAACCCTAATGGAGGAATGATGGAATAAATTATGCTACTGTATACATGGCAAAATGGAATGAGGAAGAACTGTATTTTATTACAGTGTGATAGTCATTGCACATTTTTGTGTGAAACACATATACACACACAGAAACAATGGAATGATAAACAAAAAATTATAAAACTGGTTACCCTCAGAGTTTGGGAGAAAGTTTGAGAATTACCCTCAACATTTGAGAGAAAACTTAGAAAAGAGGGAACAAGTAAGTAAGTAACATCTGTGTGTGTTCTTTGGGCTTTAGTACCATGTACACTTTTTGTTTTGTACATAAAAGGTTAAATCAGAAGTAACAAAAAAGAAAGAAAAGGAAACAAATTTCCTAACTGTATATCAAATTGGTCAATAAACACAGCTGAAAAAATTATTTTAAGTGACTTGAAATCATTGCTTTGTCTGTGTCTAGTAAGATCTAAATGGCAAAGAAAACTGTAGCATATTTTAAACTGCACTCAATAGTTGCATGTTAGGAGTACTACCAGTATATAATTTTGAAATGTATATACATGAACAAAATATATAATTATGTAAAGGACATTAGGGATCAAGATTATCAGCGTAAAAGCAAAGAAATACAAGATGAAATAAACTGATTTTCTAGTTCTGAAGAAGCTAGAATAATTGAATATAAAGACAAAACTCAGGAGCTGGTGGAATGGCTCTAGTGGTATAGTGCCTGCCTAGCAAGTGTGAGATCCTGAGTTCAAAACCTAGTACCACCAACAGAAAAAAAGAAGAAGAAAAAGAAATAACTATGGAACCAGCAAAAAATAAATAAAAAAATCAATGCATGTCAGGTGTTAGAAGGATAGGAGAATGAACAGGCAGACCCAGAGGGTTTTTAGGAAAGTGAAACGACTCTGTGTGAGAGATCCACGACATTACACACTTGGCAAAACCCATTGACTATACAACATCAACAATGAACCCACACATAAACTGAACTTTGGGTGATACTTAAATATCATTGTACATTCATGATTGTGACAAATGCACTATTCTGGTGTGGAATATTTTTTTCCTTTTTTTTATTGTTTATACATTTATTCATCTGTGTATACATTGTTTGGGCTACTTCTCCAATTTTGTTGAAGAGAAAACATAAGAGATAATATGAAAGATATATCATTTTAGCTAGTTTGAGATAAGGATAGCTATACAGAGAGATTCCTAGCATTGCTTTCATGCACATGTGTATTACAACCCGCATTGGTTCATCTCTACCAGATCTCTTCACTACTTCCTAGTCCCCTTCCCATAGTGACCTCTGTCAGTTTAAGATTACTATATTCACTCTTCTACAGTAGGTACATCAATGACTTTCAAGTTTTAGGTTTTCTTCCCTTTCTGTATTCTTCCTGTATGTGTTCTCCCCTTAGTGTGTGACCCATGTCCAATAATATTAATGCATTTGTTTTAGGTCTGTAATCCACATATGAGGGAGAACATGGGAATTTTGGCCTGGCTAACTTCACTTAAGATGATGTTCTCCAGTTCCATCTATTTACTTGCAAATGACAAAATTTCATTTTTCTTTGTGGCTTAGTAAAATTCCATTGTATATAAATGCCACATTTTCTTAATTCATTTGTCAGTAGTGGGGCATCTTGGCTGTTTGAATCACTTGGCTATTATGAATAGTGCTGCAATAAACATGGGGATGCAGGTGCCTTTGGAATAATCTGAATTGCATGGCAGATCTATGTTTAGTTGTTTTTTTTTTTTTTTAAGAAACCTCCATATTGTTTTCCAAAGAGGGTGTTCTAGCTTACATTCCTGGTGGGGAATATTGATAGCAGGCAAAGCTAGGTGTGTAGCGTGCAAGGGTTATATTTTTTGGGAAGTTCCTGTACTCTGCACTCAGTTTCCCAGTGAATCTAAGACTGTTCTAAAATAAACAAATAAATAAAGACTATTAAATGTAAAAGATAAAAAAAAATAGAATAACAAGACTAAATTACCCTCCCTCCCGAAATAACTGAGGACAAATACATGAAACAACAGTATTTTTATTCAGTGAATGTTAAGCAGCAGAGGACAGTCATCCCTGAAAAAGAGAAAATGAATGAAATAAGCCCTATTATTTTACCACCTTCCTATCTGGAGATAGGATCCATACTGCAGCACAGGGAAAGGAATCTGTAGAACTTAGTGGTCTCCCCAAAGTGAGGAAATAGAGCTGGAGTCCAGGAAGCCGAGATGGTTAGAGTTAGCAGGGCAGAGTAGCAGAGGGTAGAGAGTGGCACTGGGAACTTTTAACCTGCCACTGGGTCCTGATCAACATTGTGTGAAAAAGTGCCCCCAGCTGGGGGAAAAACCACTCAGTAGAAGCAAAGGGAATAACCTGCAGAGCTCATATAATGCCCAGAAGAGTTTATGTTTCTCAATCTGAAGTAAGATTTTATTATTTCAGGAACAACTCTGGGTCTTTGTTTACAGGTTGGAGGAGTTGTGGTGTGGTATTTAAAATTTTTTATTGATTGATTAAACTCAGTGCCTTGCACTTGTAAGACAGTTGCTCTACCACTGAGCCATTCCACCAGTCCAGAAAATTATATGTATTAATTGCTTTGTTTTCATACTTTATGTCATTTAACCCTTAGTACCTATAGATTTTAAAGTGATAGAAAGAATTAATTACCTTAAATAGTGCAGGTGGGGAATGGCAGTAGAATTCTAAGGACTCCACATTTATCACACAACCTTTTTAATTTCATCAGAACTACAGAGCTCCCAGAATTTGGTTGCTGTTCCTAGGATTGTAAGAGACAGTTACTGATAATTTTTTAATTACAGAACAATATAGTTTATTTTATCAATAAATAGCCAGTTTTTCATTTTAGAGTGAAATACCACATGGAATGTTATTTTCCCATCAGGTTAAATAATATTTCAATGGCTGTAAACTTGGTATGCAAACTAATTTAGAGCACTGACTCATATATTCATAATTAGAGATGATTTACAGGCCCAAAGCATAAACTCAGTATGGTGGGCTCACCTGTCCATAAGTAATTTAAAGTAAAAAAAGTATAGAAAATCTAACAAAGTTCAGATTTTTATCACATTCATTTTTAGTACTTTTCATACTTTTTTTTTTGGAGGGGGGATATTGTAGGCACTATAAACATGTTGAAACCCAGGAGTGATTACTACCCTACTCTGGTTGAGAAAATCCAAAGGGAGTGTGAGTGAGTGGTAATTGGTTTGCACAAGACAATAGCATAGTGGTAGCAATTTAGAAAGTTTTTATTCTTTTTTTTTTTTAAATAAACTGTCTTGCTCTCTTTCTTTTTAGGCAGCTTAAAATGCTCATCTTTAGGAAGTTCTTTGCTATCTATTAAGACATACAATGATTAATTTCATCAAAGCATAGAAAGTTGTGGGGGAAAAAAGAATGTAATCAGGAATAAAATGAAAAATTTTTATATGACTAAAATATAAGGAAGGTGAAGTAAGTGATAATCAAGGCTTAGAAAGAATTGAAAGAAGGACTTTCACCAGAGGGCTATATATTAGAGAAATCAGGAAAGTTGAAATTCTAGTTTTGAGGATAACCTTGAAAGAAAAGGAAATTTTCCATTGTAGAGACTGGAAAGAAAGTAGCAAGGATTGGAAGAGATACATTTCAGGTGAATTAGAAGGATAGAAAATGTGTGTAAGTCATTTATTTATTTTTTCTTATCTTATGCATGCATATTATTTCTTTCCTTGATTAAAAAAAAGTTTTATATTAACATCTTCAAAACCAAGTTGATCAGTGTAAGCAGTGTTTTTATTTTCTTGCAGTGCTAGGGATCAAACCAGAGTCTCTGCCACTCTGTCACTAAACTACTTCTCCAGCCCTACAACAATATTTTTTAAACTGATATACAAATACTTTGGGATGTGGATGTGGAAATTCACAGAGGTCTGATCATAGTGAGATTGATAGGGCAAGTGGTTATTTCATTATTAGTTGAAGAGCTTCTCTAGTGGTTCTGATGAGCAGTCACCTTAGGAATCATACAGTCGTGAAACTCTCATTGCAAAAACTGCTTCAGGAAATTCAGAATGAACCCTTGAATTCTGTATTCATATAAAACTCCTACAAGTCTGGTTTGGAAACCACTTCAGTAAATGTTCTATTATAAGCCTGAAATCCCCTTCTCCCAAAAGGTGACATTTTAAAACTTAATAAACTCAAACCCAACCTTTTAGAATATGAAAATTTGGTGAAATTAGACATGCTTTCTTGCTAGTATAATATATGAGAGGAAAATTCAAATTGAAATTACCTTCTCTAAATGTTGCACTATGATTATGTAATTTTTTTTTCAGTATTGAGGCTTGAACTCTGGGCCTACACCTTAAGCCTCTCCACCAGCCCTTTTTTTCGAGGGTTTTTTCTGAGATAGTGTCTCTCAGAGTATTTGCCTGGGCTGGCTTTGAACTGTGATCTTCCTGAGCTCTGCCTCCTGAGTAGCTAGGATTACAGGTATGAGCCACCAGTGTCCAGCACATTATATAATTTTTAATGCACATATATTTAAATATTTTCTTTCCTTTTTCAGAAAACTGTATGTGATGGCATCTGTGTTTGTCTGTCTGCTCCTTTCTGGATTGGCTGTGTTTTTCCTTTTCCCTCGCTCTATTGATGTGAAATACATTGGAGTAAAATCAGCATATGTCAGTTATGATGATCAAAAGCGAACAATATACTTAAATATCACAGTAAGTACAACTTTATTTTGAAAATGTTTTACCTTAGTCTTTGTCCTGTTAAGCAGCTGGTTCATCAATGTTTGTTAAGTGTGACACTGCCAGTATGCCTTTGCTATTTGCTATACTGACCCTTCTACAATTTCTGGTTCAGCTGACAGTGGTGAATATGCATATTGGCATTTTAATGTATACAGAATTATTTAACATTTGAATATATCTTCAGGAGGGCAAATAAACTAAACAGTTTCTGGCAAACAAAAAAAGGTATTACCAACAACTTAGTTTTCAACATTTGACTCAGAATAGCTTCTAGCAAGGTGTTGACATAGTTGATTCAGTAGATGTTATAAATATAACATTTTTTGCTTCTTTACATTTTGTGAACTACAGTTTTTGCCATCTTTAACAGATCTTTTCTTCATTGTGTTTAAAGGTAAGTACAAATGACATTTTCTCTCTCATAAATTAGTATGTATGAAAATATCCTCTATGTTTTCAGGACAGCATTTTTTAGAAGGATTGTGCAGCTTCCCAACTCAGAAAAGGTCTTCTATCTTTCTTTTGCCTGTTAGCATTTGTTTAAAAAGAACATGTTTGCTAACTACTGCATTGGAAAAAGGGACTAAATAGATATTCATTGGTGATGCTATTCACATTCATTTATGACTACAGGCCCAAGCGTGTGTGTGTGTGTGTGTGTGTGTGTGTGTGTGTGTGTGTGCTCTCCATCTGGAAGAGTGATGGTGGATTTAGTTGGTTGTCCTCACAAAGGTGAACTGCTAAGATTGAGATAGATATGCCTGTGGTAGGGAAAGGAGAAGGGAGTTTTAGAGGCACAGAGAGTAAAAAGATGTTAAAGTGGGATCACTACTTAATTATAAGAAAGAAAGAACTCCCAGGGAGCCATTTATTTTTGTTGCTTATTGTCAAAGCAGATAACCTGGGGCTGGACATGGTGGCACAAGTCTGTAAGGCCAAGGCAGAAAGATCTTGAATTCAAGGCCACCCTGGGCTACCTAGTGAGATCCTATACCAAAACAAACCAAAATAAACAAATAAACAAAAAGTTAATAATCTAAGGGTTTTGTAAAAATACACATTTATTTGTATGTAAATATATATACATATATATGTGAGTAAGACATGCATAACGCAGTGATAATTATAAATAATTTCATATGACTGAGGAATAATTATTGAGTATTTTCCCACTTTAACAGCCCTATGGAACAAGGGAGATATTTTCCTTTTTCTTCAGTATATGAAACAGTAGTCAGATGGTTGTGGCTAACCTTGAAAGCCTTCTTCAGTATCATGGATTGTAAACAGGTAATAGTAAAAAGCCATGTGAAATTTCTTTTCAAATACTAGATAGAGTGTATGTTTAAATGTCAATATGATGCTTTATTTAAACAGGAATTCTCACATTTTGGGAAACTACCTCATAATTAAGTTCAGAAAATACAAACATTAAGTAAGAAATAAGATTACTGTTTCTGTGAACGTTAAGCTTGGACTAAAAGAGTGATAGGCTGGTAAGGTCACAGATAAAAAGCTGATAGGCTCTCTGAAAGTATTTTAAAAACAGAATTCATTACTTATTATAGAATTATATATATATATATATATTATTATTATATATTATATTATAATATAATTGTTTTTCAGCATTGGGGTTTGAACTCAGGACTTTGTACTTGCCAAGGCAGGCACTCTACCATGGAGCCACACACCCAGCCTGGAATTATAGTTCTTAAAATGAGTATATTTTAGTACTATTTTTTTTTTTTAGTTCCTAAGGATCTACAAAACAAAAACAGTTTCTCCTCCTGTTGGAAGAAGTCACCACAAATGACTTCTGTCATCCCAAAGTGTGTGAAAGTTTCTCCCCAGAAGCAGGCAGACCAGCAGTTCTGCAGAGGACACCAGCTGCATGTCCTCTCATTACATTTAGATGTGACACTGTCCACATAGATGTAGCATCCTGTCTTACAGGTTGAAGATTCAGCACCCCCAGACTGCCCCTCACTTCACATCCAGGCCCAAGCTCCAGTCTGTGGAACGTCTGACAGACTGACCACCAATAGGGGATCCCATGAGCCTTCCATGGGTTCCATTAATTTTCTAGAGCAGCTCACAAAACTCAAAAAACAATATACCTACATTGGTTGGCTTATTATGAGTAATATTTTAAAGGATACATATAAACAGCCAGATGAAGAGATACATAGGGTGAGGTTTAGAAGAATCTAGAATTCAGGACTTCTGTCCACAGGAGTTGGGGTGCTCCACCCTCAAAGCACATGGATGAGTTCTTGTTCACCTTCCTGTAAACTTCCACATTGTTCCATCTAGTAGTGCCCTGGACCCTGTCCTCTTAGACCTTTATGGAGAATTCTTTATTTAAACATGACTGTGGTTGGACAAAAAGCATATGATCTAATTCAAATAAACTCTCCGGTCACCATTCCTTCATCTCAGGTCTGAGCCAGATCCCTTCTGGAATGGGGGTCTTATGATCCACTATCAGAGAGTCAGAGAATTTCTTTATGGCCAGCTCTAAGACATAAATGCAGGAAAAGATTTAGGAGTATATTTTTAGTTCTATGGCCTGCCTTGAGAAAAAGGAGCAGGTGAAAGGAGGTGGGGAGGTCAGAGAAAGAGATGTTACTTTCTGAGGCCTAAAGTGCCCCAAAATTATAACAAAAGACTTTTTTCTTTATCACTCTAAAGCATTTCTCTAGCTTCTTCAGGAATGACAATTATAGGCCATATGTCAACCTTATTGTGCTAACATTTTAGGAAATAACAAGGGCTATAGGAGCTATCAGCGACGAATCCTAGATGAAAACCAAAAAATACATTTCATAATATCACAATAATACTATCTTTATACTTATGAAAATATTTAATTATTAGATATTTGGAAACTCCTATAATATATAAAGATTTTTACTCCTGTGTACACTTAACTGTTGGCATTATTTACATGTATTTGCTAAAAATGCATATATAATATTCATATACATGTATATATTTACATATATAATCAAGCATTCTTACATATATTAATGATAAAGATACACACATACACTTATGCACATATACACATATGTACATTTCAACAGAGATCACACTACATTTTCCCATATTAAATGGTCTTGTGATCTTTTATATGACTGTTTTACAGTTTACTCATCCATTTTCTTAATAGATAGTTTTATTTTATTATTGCAAATATTTACTTAGAAAACAGCTTTGTGCTTAAACTTTGTTTCTATTTCAGGTTATTTCTTTAGGATAAATTCCTGAAAGTAAATTTACCAATTCAAGATAATAGACAGTTTAGGACTTTTAATAATAAATCATCATTATTCTAAAGCTGATGACCATGGTCCCTTTTTGACCTATGAATGAAATGTATTCTCACTGATCTGCAACAAATCTGTCCAACTATTGATGTATCATTTTCTTATTCTCATAAGTATTTTTATGAAGCTGTTTTACATACTTCTCCCTTTTAATATTCTAACAATTATGGACATGTCAAAAATGATACGTTCCAACATTATTTTGTTCCAAGAGTCTCCTAAATCCCATTCCTTGGGCCACTCCATCAGCTCATTAGATCCACTGACCTTAGATTGTGTCTAGAAATGAATATCAACAACCTAATAAATAAAATGTTTATACATTTTGGTAACTGCTATTTATGCTCTTATAGCATTTTTAAATTCTGTGTTTATAACTATAATAACTTAGGCAAATGTATAAGTATAATCAGATAGTTAATAATCTCTAGTACATTCATTTTACCTTTTATCACTGACTGTATTCTTTTCTTTTCACTTATACCATTTTCATCTTTTCATATCTTTTCTCATATTTGTGTTAACTTCAATATAAATACCCTCACATGCCCAGTTTTTAAAATAATTGTTCTCAAAAAATAGTATTGTGTGCATATTTTTATGCATTTTGGTTTCCTTTTTAATGCTTTGCTGAAATTGTTTTTAATTATCCGGCTTCGAGATAATGTTGATGGCTTGAAAATACTCCATGGGAAGACAATATATTTTTGGCTGGATGTGTGGCTCACTTAATAGAGCACCTGCCTTGTAAGTGCAAGGCCCTGAGTTACACCCCAGTACCACCCAAAAAAACTCCAATAAAAATATAATTTATTCAGTCATTCTTTTTTATGGACAAGCATGCATTTTATTTTCGGAGATTTTTTTGAGTTTTTGTGTGTTTTTCTTTTTTTTTTTACCAGTCTGAGGAACACTGTCTTTAATGTCCGTAGTGTTTGTACTTCGGTGAAATAAATGCTCGGAAGTAGGAGTGCTAGATCAAAGAAAACATATTTCTTATGTTGCTGGATGTTGCTAGAATACTTAGTATAAAGAATGTAGTATATTTGCCAGCAATGTAAAAACCTTTTGCTCATACTCCTGCTAGGAATAGAATTCACTTTCTGCAAAATCTTAATTAGCTTGAGGGATATAACACAACATTCTATTTTACTTAAATCAGCTTTTCTCTGACTGTAAATGAGTTTAAGGAATTTTAAAATGTTTCTTGTACTTTTTGACTTGCTTGTGCTTATCCTTTGTAGTTTTTTATTTGTTCATATTTTTCAATTTGAGCTTATATTTTTTTCAATTTTAGGGACTTGTATATAATAATGATAGCCATTGCCATTTGCCATACAAATATTTCAAGACCATAGGTGTGATGGAGGTGGGCTTGGTGATGCACATCTGTAATCCAGCACTTAGGAGGCTGAGGCAGAAGGATGGAAAGCTCAAGGCCAGCCTGCTTTATATAGTGAGACCTTGTCCCCCCACAAAAAAGAAAAAAAAAAAAAAACAAACAAAATGCAGAAATTAACCCAACTGTCACTTAAGTATTGGAATGATGCAGCTATATTCCTATCCAACCAGACTCTAACCTAAGCCATTTGTTCTCCATAGTGACCTGGCATAAATCTCTACAATCATGTAAACTAAAACAGTAATTTCCTATAAGCATTTTAAATACTGGTCATTTTTTAATTTAATAGAATAGGAAATACCTAATGTAATTGGTAGAAGCATGTGTATAATGAGAATAAAAATTTAAATGAAATTTAAAAATTATTTTTATTGGACTTTTGCTAACTAAAGCCACAAATACATTTTCTAACATTATTTTTTCTTAGTCCTATAATACATATTTTGGGTCTGTTTTTCAGATTTTTGAATCTTGCATTTATTATAGGCATAGTTCTCATGTATAAGACCAAACAATTAATTCATTTAATGTTGCTTTTCATTTTTGTTAATAGAATTCTTCTTTTTAATAAATGAAGCACGACCACAGTTAAAATCATCTGCTTTATTAATTTTGAGTACATATTTTTATGCTTATTTTCAGATAATGTATATATTTTCTGCCTCTTTTTCTTTTGCAGAATACACTAAATATAACGAACAATAACTATTATTCTGTTGAAGTTGAAAATATCACTGCTCAAGTTCAGTTTTCTAAAACAGTTATTGGAAAGGCACGCTTAAACAACATAACCAATATTGGTCCACTCGATATGAAGCAAGTAAGCCTCAGTCGTGAAATACCAGATGAGTAAAACTGGCCTCAGCTTGGTCTGTCTTATAATTTGAGCTGGGTGGGATGTTTCTTCAAATACTTGATTCTGAAATGCATGCCATACATGTGTAAGATTAAATTTTAGAATCAAGCTCCTAAAAGGAGAGAGTTCTAATTCTTTAAAGTTTTGACATCCATTTGCAGTATTTGATGTTTTTATCTTATTCTACATTGATTTTTTTAATTATTTAATTTTTTTGCCTTTCAGATTGATTATACAGTACCTACTATTATAGCAGAGGAAATGAGTTATATGTAGTAAGTTCTGACTTTCAATAACTTTATTATCTGTATAAAATAATTTTTCTTTTTCTATAACCTTGTCAGTTAAAATGACTACAATTTAGAATATTCCTCCTGGCTTGTGATCCTCTCCTTTTCTCTTCTTCCCACATCCTTGGCATACATAACTTTCATATACTACTATATCTGTGGGAGTATAGCTCCAAGATCACGGTGCAGAAGCACATTAATGCACAGAGCTCACCCCTCTGCTGCCCGCACTTGCTTCATTTCCCTACAGTGCTGCCCAGCTTCCGCTGAAAACATGCTGCCTTTCAACAAATCTAAAATTTTCACTTTATCATTTAAATTAAGCACATTAACTTTTTTAAACATTTTTTGGGAACAATTTGCTTTTAGGAAGGCAAATTTTCATAAAAATTAAGCTCAGGGAAACAGAGACCACAGAACAATTTAAACACAATTGACAGTAATGTGGAACAGACTGAGAGCTTCTGCATTTACCTGAATTCCATAATGCACACACAGGAATTTAAAGTTTTTGGTTTTAAAGTTGATTTTTATTTTTTTATTATTTTTTGGACTGTGCTTGGTCAAAATTATGTGTAGTATATCCATGAATAAGATGGGCTTGTACACGTACCTATATCCATAAAAGTTTTTTCATTTTTCAGAATTCAGATTGCATATACCATGTCCCTTTTTGTTTTTAGATACTATTATGAGAAACTTATTCTCATATATTCTTGTCATTTCAATATAGGAAGATGAAAAATGCTAACGTACAATATTTTGTTATTGATTTGAAATTCTAAAATGTTTTAAGTGGGTCCTAATGATTATTAACTCTTCTTAAATAAAATTAATTAATCATAAATTTTCATCACCTTTTGGCACAAGCCTGAATAGGAACTTCTGGTTACTAAAATCTTAAAAAGTGAGCAAAATAAATTCTTAGAACACATCAAAGTTACTTTACAACTGCCGTGGCATGAATGAATTAATCATTAGAAGTCATGAATATTCCAGTCAGTATTTGATGCGTAGAAAATGCTTTTTATTATATAGTCTTAATAGTGTCTTGCCAGGCACAATGGCACATGTCTATAGTCCCAGCTACCTGGGAGACTGAGGCAGGAAGATCACTTCTGCCCAGGAGTTCAAGAGCAGCCTGGGCAACATATGGAGACTCCCATCTCAAAAAAAAAAAAAGTGTACAAATAATGCCTGTATTAACTTTAATTTACTTTTTTGTATTTATTCACATTTTAATTTCTTTAACAGTGATTTCTGTACACTGCCATCCATCAAAGTGCATAACATAGTGCTCATGATGCAGTAAGTATGACTTTTTTTTAAAAAAGATATTTCTTATTCATATTTTAGATCAGTAACATTGTCTTACAGTATACCCAACATCTTTACAAATGCCATCTCAACTGGGTCTGAAGCCTTGCAAGACTGCTGTGGGGTTGAGCAAATATCACATTTAACTAATTAAGAAATGGTTGCTCAGAGAAGCAGTGAAGGATCATATGCTGGGCATTATAGACACTCAGGAGAATGGCAGATTTGGACAGAGAGGACTGAGCCCAACATTCGTTTCCTCACTGCCCTGGTAAATAATCTAAGAGCAAGAATGCCAAGGGCTATAAAGCTGATAAAACATTGTCAGTTGTAGGTTTGGTATTTTGACCATTAGTTGATATTTAACTAACACTTTCCCTACGATGAAGGCGCTGTATGATTTTTTTTTTTAAATCATGTAATGACATTCTATTTTTAACTAAAGATAACTTTTAAAAAATTACATTTGTTGTTTATTTAATTATATGAATTGGGTTTGCCCAGCTATGTTTTTGTGTCTGTTAGAGAAATATTCCCTAAGAGGCTTATGTCCACCATATATATCATCATTAATACTAAATAATCATAGCTAGTAATTGTAACAAGTAATTAATAAATAGTAAGTTATTCACAATTTGTGCAGTATTAATTAATATTAAGTTGATATAATGTCACATAATCTCTCCCTGGAGAAAAGTATTATGTTATAAAGTATTAGCACAGAAAGTCTTCTATTGAACATTTTTCTCCATTTATTTTATTGTTAGAGTTACTGTGACAACAACGTACTTTGGCCACTCTGAGCAGATATCCCAGGAGAGGTACCAGTATGTGGACTGTGGAAGAAACACGACTTACCAGATGGGGCAGTCTGAATATCTAAATGTACTTCAGCCAGAACAATAAAAACCGAGATGCAGGTAGAGAAGATGGTACTTTCTGAACTCTTAAACATGAGGTACTTCCAAATAGGAGATCTTAAATTGAACAGCCTAAAGTTTACACTTCTGTTTTAAGAGTTCAGTTAAAAGAATGTAGGCTTGCAGTTGTTGCAGCTCTCCATTCTGTGTTAAGTATACATTGGTACCAAGATATCTTACTTGAAATAAATTTAGTGGTTGGTTTTCTTACATCCCACATCCCCAAAGAGAAAAACTGAGACTTCCTCTCTAGTATAATAAATAATTATTTAAAAGTCATGCAGCCAATCCATGCTCTAGTGACAAAATAATTTTGGCAATGAACATAATTTGAGAAACTTAATTTCTGACTGTTTTTTATAAAAAATTACTAAGAGCCTGTTATTCACAAAGGACTTTTTAAAAATTAACTTTTCTTCCTGTTTTATAAATGCCCATTGTAACATGGTAGTATATAAACTACATATTTTACCTTTTAGCTAAACATTTTTAGCTTTTAATTTGTTGAAATTCTACTCATTTGCATGTTTTTGTCATTTCAAGCTAGTGATTGCATATCATTTATCAACCAAAATAATCTCTAAAAATTTCTGTACCTAAATTTTTTAAGCCTCTAAATAATGTATTTGACATTTCTTTTCATAATAGTTCTATGTGAAATTTTTGTGTGATATTCAAACATAGTCCTTTAATGTATGGTACTGTAAATACACTGCAACTGCATGGCCTTTATACAGCTTTGATAAATGTCAAGGAAAGTGGTACAAACTCAACCTTAAAGCAGATTGCTCATAATAAAAATAAAACAGGAAAATGAAATTCATAAACCTAGAGAGTCTGAATACGTTCCAGTTATGTGTTGGATCTGACATAAAATACACTTGAAATAAAAGATGTTGATGCTTCACTTTTTTATGTTGCTTTTAATACTAAAAAATGGTATAGACACTTTTCACAATGATTAGGACTCAGTCATCAATTTCATGAATGTTTTAGAGGAGAATATTATTTTTTGATAGAAATTACTCAAGAAATTCTATCATTAAATAATGGTGGCTATATCAAAATAAAACATTGTGCTTTTAAACGTGGTCACTTTGTACGTCATATTGATGTGATGCCTCTAGCAGTTACATTTTTAGTCTTTTGATTTAAGTGTTATCAAATATAAATTTTTTACTTGTTCACTTGTTGTTTTATGTTTTCAGTACCATTTTCCATTAGATCTTTTTTCCTTCTTTATTACCAAGTGCTAAGGACCTTTTGAATACATACCATTGAGCTTAGTTGCTGACCGTGATACCCAAAAGAAGTAAGTGGGTTGAGGTATTCAATTCTTTCTGTTCCCTAGTGGCAAAAGTCAGGTTTCTCTTCCCCCAACCCTAAGTGCCTAATTTAGGTCTAGAAGATAGCCTGTTTACCAGCCCAGTTCTCTCAACTTTAAAATATAAAATCATGTCTCTCCATGGACTTCTGTATGAACATTTTAAATTGGTAAATGTACTGTTTTTCTTCTTCTTCTATTTAGCCTTTCCTTAATCCACTGCCAGGTTAGCCATCCTTATTAGACAGCTCAAATCACTAGGACTTTCTAACCCTTTATTTCAATTTTTGTTCTGTCATGTTTTCTGGCTACTCTTATTCTTCTTCAAACTGTACACTGTCCTGCTATATAGATTTTCCTTTTTTTTTTTTTTCACAGTTCTGGGGATTGAACACACGGCTGTACACGTTAGGCAAGTGGTCTACCACTTGAGCCATGCCCCATCCCTTTGTGTTTTGTTTTTGAGGTAAGGGGTCTCCCTAACTTTGTCTCCAACCTCCCAAGTATCTGGGATTACAGGCATTCACCATCATGCCCAGATGTTTCTGTCTTTCACATCAATTTCATTTCATTTTCCCTAAATTTCTCATTTTGACATGATTTACATCGTGAATGAACTAGGTTCCTCTTTTGCCTCAAAATTTCTAATTCTGTTACTTCGAAAATAACTGGTATCTACAGTAGGGCTTCCAGATCTGTTTCTCCATGCCTGAGCAGGCACCCATGTAGTTTCACATCTACCTAGGAAACTAGGGTATTTCAGTGACCCTCTATGTAGAAAGCCATAAAGTGTTAAGACACATGCTGTCTTCATGCCTCACCTACATGTACATCGTCCTTTAGATATGCTTCATAAAATACTGTTTTCCTGTTTTGTGCACATTAACCTCGGCAGGTTACATAGTATAAATTAAACAGATTTGTCTGATGATCTGTGGCTCTTATGTCCTTTCAGAGTGCAGGCATAGTATCTCCATTTGCTTCTAACTGACTTAATTCAGAATCTCCTTTCTTCACTCTTAAATTACATATAGTTTCAGTGGAGTTTGAGTCAGAAAAAAAAACAAACAAACTAGAATTATGACAAATAAAAGACCAAGAACAGAAGAAAAATAAAGATTGCCCGGGACTAGTTTCAGAAAAAGTTAAATAACTACCAGAATAAACAAAATAGGCTATGTTAATAAAACCATAGAAACATAATTTGAAGAATCAAAATTAGAGCCATAAAAAAGTTCTGGAGGGCTGGGGTCATGGTACAAGGGGTAAAGCACCTGTCTAGCAAGCAAAAGGCCCTTAGTTCAAACCCCAGAACTGCCAATAAACAAACAAGTAAAGTCTGAAAAGAATGTATGAGGCTTTTAGTTTTTCTGGGTCAGCATCCACTATGGTTTATTACGTGGAAATAGAATAGGTATTAATATATTTTTATAACTGCTCTTAGAACTTACACAGAAACATGATAAAGATATTACATTTTTTCTGATAGTTTCAGGAATAACTTTCTCTTAAGTTACACTTTAATAGCCTGGTCTTTCTAACCAGATCCCACACTGTAATAAGCCTCTATGTATCGATATTATGTATTATGTATCTAAAAACAATAGCTGTTTTTAGAGCTCTCCTGTGTGTCTGTCTTACGACTTTCCAAAGGAGGGTGACAGGATCATCATCTTCTAGAAGGGAAAAGAGAAGCATGGTGAACATGCTTTAAGATCACATATTTAGTAAATGGTTTAATTGGGGCCAGAAAGGGCTTCCTTGTCTCCCATATCTGTGCTCTATCATTTAAAATTCTCATTGGAAAGCCCTGTTAACTCAGGTTAGTGTGATAAAAAATTAAAGGAAAATTTCACATAGTTAATAGTGATGATCAAAACGGTAGATGGCATAAGATTTTACTAGCTTTGCTATCTGAAGTATTTTAAATGGGGAATGAATGAACAATTGAGGAATAATTTGGACCATAACCTACTGCCTAATTTTGTGTTAAGATTTATTACTTATTTATCATTCCAATAAAGAAAAAACCAATACATTATCAGGGTTATTTATAAATAACAGAAATTATTACATTTGAGATTTGAAATACAGTATGAAAATGTTAGCTACCAGATAAATTTCTTGAAATCACTAAATGACCATCTTTACTGTGTTAATATTTAATTGGCTCTAGTTTATTTTTGTGCAGTTTTTCTGTGCCTTTTTGTTTGCTTAGGCTAATGAGGTCGTTATTTTCTCTAAAAAGTTTACAGGAAGAAGATGTAACTTCAGATCTTATGATTTGTAGTTTGGAAATAGCACAGTGCAGTATAAACATGGGTAACTGTCAAAACACAATAAAAGTAACATACTAAGAGACTTGACACTTTAATGAATCCTTTGTGGTTCTTAGCCTTATTATCCGAGTATAATTCTGGATATTTCATTTGAGAGCTTGTCAAAAACTCTATTCCATTTTCTTTTTTTAAAAAACTACTTAGAATAAACAGTTCTTTATATTGCAATTACTCCTAATTTAAGATGATTCATTCAGTTAGGTACTTTTTAAAAGATAGAAGTTTTAAATTTTTTAAATACATAACAATCTTCTTTGATAAGCACTGTGAGTTGAATTTCAGGTTATTTGTTTATAAGTAAAAAGTTGCTTCCCATGTCATCAGGTAGAGATTTTAGCTCACAGTATCTGGAAACAGCAAGTACTTTCCTCAAGTACATCTAAGAGTAATTAGATTTTTTTTTCTCTCATTTTTGTGTAAAATTAGATTTTAAGTGAAATATTTGTCCTATATGATTTTAAGAAAATACATGTGTTTGAGATGTAGGGTAAAAAGACTGTTAAACATTCTTTAAATTTTTTATTTTTACATCAAAACAATGTATTTGTGATGCATTTGGATCAAAAACTTAAATTCTGAATCCCAGACTTATTTATAATAAACTAAAAATTTTCACTTGCCAACTGAAATTTCTGATTAGAACTAACATTTGTATATTTTTGTGCTTCCTTAGAAAACAAATTTCCACAGTTAGAGTTTTGAAATTTGTCCTTAATTTGGATAAAATCAAAAATGATTGCTATAGGGATAAAAATGGAACTTCCATTTTAAAATTGCTAATTTGATTGTGCTTGTAATTCTTTTTACTTGTGTTTAGCACAGACTTTGAAGTCATGAACATAATGTTGTCTGAATTTGACCCCCAAAATATTCCATAAATTAACAGATATGTAGCAAGTTTTTATAGGTAAATCTAACTACTCTAGAAGGAAGTTGTTGCCTTCTGTTCAATTACATTAACTGTAATGTGTTTAAGAGAAACATTTCAGAATATTTTGTATACTAAGAAGCAAAAAGGATTAGTATTGTGCCAATGGCCAAAAGGTAGTATTACTACCATGTAGACTATTACAGGTCACATTGTCCCACTCCCCAGCATTTCAGAGCCTAGGAGCCTGGGAGGTACTCACCCACTGCTGTGCTGTCACTGAGGTGGTTCTGAGGGCTAAACGCATATCTTTCAGTTAAGTCGTATGAGGTGGAACAAACACCATGATGCAAGAGATACAAATTCCTTCATGGAATGGCTGGCTTTAGGCATGGAGTAGCAGGAACCCATGGCTGCATGTTTTGTATTTTCCTTTAGAACTAAACAAAAAAGGTTTTAGAAAATGATTTGGACCCACTTGGTCAGACATTCGAATGATGGTATTACTAGACACTAACCCTGAACTCTTAATTATGGAATATAGAGTATGAAAATACATTTGACACTTATATTTTGTTTATATTATATAGTGGCTTCTATCATGGCACTGTTGTTAAATTTACTAATTGAGTACTTCTGTAATTATAGCAATTACTGCTATTCATATAACAACCATGCTTATGACAGTAGTAAATTAATAGTAATACCCCCAAATGTTATTTTTTTAATTCAGTTATAACTGTTACTCTTGTAATTGTGTATGACAAAATACAATTTGTAAAAATTTTAGCATGAAAAATAAAATTTGTGTCAGTCACATATTTTGGTTGTTCTTTTAAAATTCCATTTACATAAACCCATCAGTGTAAATCCTGATACTCTTTTAGCTCTAAGCTCTTAATCCATATAGACCTTATCTGAACTTCATTGCTTTGATTTCTCTTTTATCCACCATGGCTTCCTATCATTGCACTTATGTAATATCTCTGGAATGTCATACCTAAAATGTCTACAAGCTACTACTTTCTTATTTTATACTGAACAAAGGCTAAGTCCTTATTCTGTTGTCCAAAACCTTGTATTCTCTGCCTAAATTCACAATCTCATCATTTCTTATTGCCTGTCACTTGTGTCCATCCAAACTGAGGTATTTGCCATGCCTTGGAAACATAATGTATTGCCTATTCTGTGACCTTTTTTTTATATATATATATAAAATCATTTGGCCATTTCTTCTATACT